AAAGTTGCTTCCCTTATATGTAATTGTAAAAAACGCAAAAAAGTCCATAAAAACTGCAAAACACAAAATGTGAAACCGCAAACTTGTATATATCTCCGCATGGACCCAACAAATCTTTATGCCAAATTTGGTGAAGATCCAGCAACAAAGGGCGAAGTAGTGGTAAAAAACGCCCATAAAAACTGCAAAATGCAAAACTGAAAATTTGTACGTATCTCCCCATGGACCCAATGAACCTCCATACCAATTTTGGTGAAGATCTATCCAAACCCTGCGAAGTAGTTATGTGAACATTCAACAGACAGTGCTATTATATTTATATTTCAGGGATATTCGAGAAACTAGTAGAAAAATTCAGCTTTTTACTTAATTTATGCATCGCTTATAGTTAGCAAAACCTTTCAAAAGAACATAGCTGCTATAATGATGACATTTTATTACATGTGTGTACAAAAGTGTCCATAATAAGTCAAAGTTTGTTCGAAATTCTATACTTTTCCTTTCTTGGGTAGTATATAAAGATTTGTATAAATGTAAAGGCTACTTTGACATACATTTTTACATATTTTTGATAAATGAATTAAATATCCCAAGAATGACCTAGCTTGTATTGCTGACACCCTCTGGTGTCAGTTGTAGTAAACATTTATTAAATAGTTTCAGAATAATAATTATAAAAATACTCTAGAAACAATGATTTAAAACTTGGGAACTGGTGACAGATTGGTAAGACTGCTTCTTCTAAAAATGTTGAGATCATTAGTAGTTGCACATCCTATATTTGCAACCAACACTTTAAACTAATTACTAATTTTAATTGCTAGTTTTGATCTTTATTCCACAGTTCATCATCTTTCACTAGATTGAAAATTACATGAAAATTCTGTACACTTATCCAAGAGAAGAAAACAGTTAAACGACTGATAAACCAGAGCCAAAATTCACTTTAGTTTATGGGATCAAATTTAGGTTACTCTTTATTTAAATACTATTACTGACTATTATATCAGAGTCTTAGGGGTTTCTTGTTTAATAGAATTTTCGTCATGAGATATATTTTAAAATTCAATTTTTACGTTTCATGTAGGTGTACAAATACCTGACCAAGGAATATATTTCCTGCAGCGTTCATAGATTCACAGGACGTTGTTCCCACGGTCTTCTGTAAGAACCATCCAATGTTTATAACTAAGCGCTGCATGATTCCACAGTAATACAAGACTGAGGTACAGAAACTGAAGAACAAAATGACGCACAAAATCTGAAATTGTGAAAAATGAAAACAGTTTTATAAAGTGATATTCATTTCTAGGATAACATTTATTGTAAAATTTATTGACAATAGTTGTGTGATATAATATTACGATGAGACTAGTTTTAAAAAAGTAAGATAAATATTATAGCAGTTGTTGCAAGGACTAATTCCATTACACAATAAAGATATACATTTTATCTTTCGAGGGAACTTAACTCTGTCACCTATCTGAGGAAGACATTTCTAGAAATACATAAATATATATTATAGTATATGATTAGTAAGTTAGCTCACAGGATCATTTTATCTTTCGAGGGAACTTAACTCTGTCACCTATCTGAGGAAGACATTTCTAGAAATACATAAATATATATTATAGTATATGATTAGTAAGTTAGCTCACAGGATCATATATAAAAGCTCTAATGATTTTCAAACGAGACCCAAAACTCTAGCGCTTTCGAATAGTTCACTATTATTCTTCACTTTCACACAGTGTAGTAAACTGTTAACAGACAAAAACAGGATAAATTAAACTCAGTTGTGATTGAATAGTTATACATATTGCTGTTTGTTTATTCTTGCCTGTGTTATTATGTTTGAATGATGCAAATGCCATCCCTTCTATCTTATTTGCATTGTTTTTGAAAGATTGATATTAGCCATCCCTACATTTATTTCTTTTTTGAAAAGTTTTCTTTAGTTGTTTGCTTGTTTTTATTAATGCAGTGTTTCAACAGACATAGAAGGGTTGTATTTATAACCAAGATCTAAATGCAATGATTTTCCAACTATAATAGTTATTGTTTATTTATTATTGGCTGGTAATTCTTGTTTCATCCTGTACTTAAGCTTTTTAAAGGAACACCAAATTTCTGTAAGAAAGCTAACTTCAAGGGAGTAATGATAACATCGTTTACACTAG